TATATATATTAAATTAATCTTTCTGGTATATCTATTAAAATACATTTATACAAATTAGTGAAAAAATGTATAGTCAAATTATATCTATTAAAAATATTAACTTAAAATTACACATGTAAAATATCAGTTAAATTCTTAAGTCAGTTTGAAAGTCTTTGATGAGTTTGTTATTGCTTTCAAATTTCCTTTTCAAACTAGCTTTTAATCTTGGCAAACCAAATATGTCTCAGCAACATGCAAATTATTTTCGAACAGCACTTAAACCATCCAGGCAATCTAGTTGCTTCCTCGCTCTGTACAGGGCAACAGCTAGTCCTCATCACTCAAATTCTCGTTAAGGTCTTTGCGTTGCTTTGCTTCCATTTTTGGCTTCACTTTCGCTTTCACTTTCGCTTCCATTTGATTTTGCACGTTGTTTTGCCGGGCAATACGTGTCATTGAATTCATTATGCTGTCAGCATGTTAGTCGCTTGCTACATTTGCTGGGCGCACCTGCCAGCAGCAGCCGCGGCGGTGGAGGCGGAGGCGGAGGCGTGGCCAATACGTGCAGCAGATTAAAAATATGCATTGCGAAATTAATTAATTAACGCAGCGCTTGTTAGCTGCCATTTAAGCTGGCTCGCATTTTATTGTTGGCATTCTTGCCATGCTCCACATTCTTTTCACTTTTACTTTATTTCTACCGGCCCTACAGAATTATTATAAATTAATTAACAGTTGTGCGAATTAAATATATATATATAAATCAAATATATTTTTTCATTTGTTTACATTACTCAACGCGAAACATGCTCGTTCCAAATTGATTTTCAATTAATTAGTCCAATTATGTTTAATGGTTACTTTAACATTCAATTCAATTATCAAGTGTTTGCATAAATATTAAATATGGTATTTATTGCCAGCGATTGTCGTTAATATACCAACCGCATTTCCGACAGGAAAGCCTTTCAAAAAATTCAAATAATTTACGGCAGGCGGAACTAGGCGAGGCTGAGAGCTGGCCGCTTCTAATTTTTTGCTATTCCCAATACTACTACTACTTCTACTACTATTTTTTTTTACAACTACTACTATTTTTATGATTATGCCTGCTACTATTACTATTTCTATGATTAGTTGTACTACTATTTCGACTACTAAGACTATTTTTATAACTATGCCTACTACTACTTTGGCAATCTGTACTACTTTTTCAACTACTACTACTTACTATGACTATACTATACTATGACTATACTATTACTTCTACATCGACTATATCAATGACTATGACTTCGACTATATCTATTTCTACTACTACTTTAAATATTTCTATTTCTAATTATTATTACTAATTGTACTACTATTCCTACTACTTTACTATCAAAATTATTACGGTTACTATTTCTTATGCTACTATACTATTCTATTACTATTTCTACTGCTGAAGCTTTTACTATATCTACTGCTGCTACTTCTATTGATATTACTACTACTATTTCTACTACTATTTTTGCTACTATTACTTCTACACTACTATTTCTATTACTGTTGCTATTACTATTACTGTTACTTCCACTAATACAATTCCAACTAGTCTGCTACTACCACAATTACTACTATTACTCTTCTTTCTACTCCTACTCCTTCACATTTGCCCAAATTAAATTCCCATTTGGTACTTTGGAATTGCACAAATTCTGTAGAATTCGCCAGCATCCCGGCTTGCACTTCACTTAAAGCACCCCACTCAGCAGTTGAGTTGACTGTCAATCAGTTGGAGCACGCGAATTACCGTGTCACCGTCATGCATGTAGAATGATCACATAATGTGACGGAAATATGCTGGCAGTGTCCAAAACAACGCCAGCAGCAAACAATGGCCAAGCTCCACAGACCGTAATTACCCGATGGGTTGATTATTTCAGATCGCTGCCCATAAACGCCCCGTTCGTGTGAACTGAAAACGGATGTCCGGCAGAGCGAAATTGTACAGGTATGACCAGGTGAGTAGCCATGTATTTCTGGCACAATATGCCTTAGAGGCATAATATTAAAGACCAGAAACAGTATGATAGCCAAACTTCAAGGGAGAGAATGAAGGTTCAAAGAGATGAACTAGGGAAAAAAAAGAAAATATTAAATATTATATAGCACATGCGATGTGAATGAAAAATTTAACTGTAAATTTCATATAACTTCTTCACTTTGA